CGACGGACGGAAACTTCATCCAGCTCCAATCCCGGTGGAACAGCAGCACCTACAACTGCGAGTTTGTGAAGGGTAAGGGCTGCAGCGCTCCAGAATGGGGAGCTTGGGTGGATCTGGGAAGTGAGATCTGAGGGCGTGGGGAGGCTGTGCAGGCTGTGGTCGTGGGGAGGTGGGGAGCTCGGCCAACGGGGAGCCCACGGGGAACTTGAGGCCAGGCCCCGCTGATGGCTGCAGCCCGGCAGCTCTGCGCTGGGGTCGCAGTGCAGTGGGAGCCTCTGTCTGTGCTGTGGCCCTCCCAGCCCGGCTCCCGTGGCTGGCCGTGTGCTTTCAGTGCAGGTAAGAGGAGCCCCCAGCCCGCAGCCCCTGGCCCAGGCTGGGCGCCTCTTGCAGCCCCACTGCCATTAATGCCCATCCCCATCCTCCCCAGGCAGGAGCAGCCCCATGGAATCCCCACACCTCTGGGTGCTCATCCTGGCAGCCGCAGCCCTGGCAGCCGTGGGAGAGTCCTGACCTCTACACCATCCCTCCACATGGACAGGAGGGCAGCAACGTGCCAACACATCTCATGGAAACTGCAGATGCTGCTTTCCTGCTCCTGACGCTTTTGGTGCCGCTGTTGGATGTGGAACAGCGGCAGAGAATGATCCAGAGCTCTGACAGAAAAATAAAAGCATTGTTTTTATCGGTTGTATTCACTGCATCTCCCAGCCCTGCTCATGCGGCTCACCAGGCACTTGCTTTAATGAAGCCCCTCTGCCCCACAGACAGCTGAGAGGGGGGCACCAGGAGCCCCACACACAGCATCCAGTGGGGCAGCCATCGCCCCTCGCTGTTGGGCTCATCACGAGTTCTGTTCTGTGTCAGCCCACTTGTCCACCCTCTTTGCTGGGTGATGTAAAGGAAGGAAACCCTATAACCCACGTTGATGCTGATCGCTGTTTGGGTGGGTAGAAGTACTTGGAATGGTTATAAAATCATAAAATCATAGAATCATAAAATCATAGAATCATAGAATCACAGAACGGCCTGGGTTGCAGAGGAGCACAGTGCTCATCCACTTCCAACCTGTTCCTGCTGCATGCAGGTCACCAACCAGCAGCCCAGGCTGCCCAGAGCCACATCCAGCCTGGCCTTGAATGCCTGCAGGTTTGGGGCATCCACAGCCTCCTTGGGCAACCTGTGCCAGTGCCTCACCACCCTCTGGCTCAAAAACTTCCTCCTCACATCCAACCCAAACCTCCCCTGACTCACTTTCAAGCCGTTCCTTGTCCCATCACCATCCACCCTCACACACAGCCGTTCCCCCTCCTGTTTGCCCGCTCCCTTCAAGCACTGAAGGCCACCATGAGGTCTCCCTGCAGCCTTCTCTTCTCCAAGCTCAACAAGCCCAGTTCCCTCAACCTTTCCTCACAGCAGAGCTGCTCCAGCCCTCTGCTCATCTCAGTGTCCTCCTCTGGACCCGCTCCAAGAGCTCCACATCCTTCCTGTGCTGTTTTGTGCTGAGGCAATGCTGATGTTTGTTCCGTGCGTGGTTCCGTGCTTTATTCAACCTGCACAGCGTGCTGCTCTTTGTAACCACTGCAACCGAGGACAAGTGGGGCCGGTGAGGGCAACACTTCTGAGCAAGCCCAAGAAATCCAGGGTAGAACTGTGCAACATTTATCCCCCCCATACCTCCAGCTCTCTTTCCCTTATCTTTACTTTCTTTTTCTTTTCTTTCCTCACCACCCTCGATGGTCATTTATTCACCAGTTTCAAACAACCTTTGAGCCACTGCGTGATGGGGTGACAGAGAAGCAGTGTTGGTTGGGCTCAAATCTGGCTGCATGAGGCACTTTCGATGATAAGACTTACTGACAGCTGGGAATTATCCGGGGCTGAGCGGGGGCTGCTGCCATGTCACAGCGCTGCTGCTTATGGCTGCGAAGATCAGCAGAGGCGGACAAGCAGCTTTGTCTGGGGTGGACTGGAGGAGCCGAGCTCACACACCAAGAACAGCAGTGCCTGCATATAAAGGCTGAAGTACACACAGCATCCCAGGGAAACGGGCCGGAGCTGTGAGAAGCAATGCACATACTGTGCCAGCCTCCTGAGCATGAGTGCTGTAAATGGGGTTGGGGTCTCTGGTGGTCGTTGGATGAAGGCTTGCAGTCACCGTCACTGTGAACCTCCAACCTTTTGGTGGGGGCAGCCCAAACAACACGGCACTGGCGCTGTGTTCAGTTCAGGCATCTGCTTTGCTGCCATACCTTCAACAACAAGGCCTCCATTGCTCTTTCTTATCTTTGATTGCCTGAGATTTACTGCCGACTCCGCATTCTGCCCTCAGCTCACCCTTATGCAGGCACACCGTCTTCCACCTGCTAACTGCTTCATCAGTGTGCAAAGGCACTTCTCACCAAGAGAAGCTGCTCTCGTGATTCACCCGCTGTTGTTCCCCGTTGGACAGCGGCACCAAAAGCGTCCAAAAAGCAGCGGGAAGCAGCGCCTGCAGTTTCCACGCGATGCAATGAGGGCGCCTTGCTGCCCTCCTGTCCTTGCGGAGGGGCAGTGCAGAGCTCAGGGCTCTCCCGCAGCTGCCGGGCCCCGATCCATCCCAGCTCCCCATTCAGGAGCGCCGCGCTGCAGCCCGTGCCCTTCATGAGCTCGCAGCTGTAGGAGCTGCTCTTCCCCTGGTGATGGAGGTGATGCCTTTGTTACAGGTGATGCTGGTGACCTTGAGCTGCTCGGCAGCTGGGATGAGGACTTTGTGCTCAGCAGGGAGGGCGGTGAAGCTCTGGACGGGCGCACCATAGCAGGTCTGCACCGAGAAGAAGGTGTGCGGGCCGAGCTCTTTGGGGAGGTTCTTCTGGAGGGAGGAGGAAGGAAAATGTCCTGATCTCTGAAGTGGAGAGCTGTGGGTTTCAAGGGTGGGCAACTCGGTGGGTAAGGAATCGGACGGACGGCCGTGGTCAGAGGGTGGTGGTCAACGGCTCTGAGTTCAGCGGGAGGCGGAGCTGAGCGGTGTCCCCAAGGGGTCCGTCCTGGGAACATCAACATCTCCCTCAGTGACACCAACGATGGGATCGAGTGCAGCCTCAGCAGTTTGCTGCTGACGCCCAGCTGAGCGGTGCGCTTGGCACAGCAGGAGTAAAGGATTGTCCCTCTGCTCCTTCATCATGAGGCCCCACCTGGAGCACTGCACCCAGGTCTGGGTGTCCCGTCCCAGGAAAGACGTGGAGGTGTTGGAATGGGAGCAGAGGAGGTCGCGGAGATGCTGAAAGGGCTGGAGCAGCTCTCCTGTGGGGAAAGGCTGAGGGGGCTGGGGGTGTCCAGCATGGAGAAGGGAAGGAAGGCTCCATGGACCCCTCAGTGCAGCACTGCAGGGCTAACCAGAATGTACAGCACTGCGCTGAGGGCATCGTCCAAATGCCTCCTGAGCACTGCAGGCATGGAGCATCAACTGCTACCTGCAAACCTGTCCCAGTGTGTGACCACCCCGTGCTAACGATAATTCTTCCAATTATCAAGTGGCTCAGAAGAGAGCAGCAGCAAGCCTTCCACCCAATTAAACAGGAACTGGTTCACCCAACTGCCACTGATGTTACGTGGAGGAAGTGACTTGCAGTGACCACACAGTGGGCTCAAGTTGGAATCCCTCGTTGTGCAGGGATCTTGGAAATGATCATGGACTGGATGAAGGCAGAGATTTTGGAACGTCAACAGAGGAGGAGGTGATGGGTGCCTGTGGCTGCGCTCGGGATCGAGGGGTGGACTTGGCCGTGGATGCTATTGCACAGGTTATCATGGATGTGAAACACACAGGGTAATTAAGCAAGTCAAGGGGATCATGACCATTTGTACGGAGGATGATGGCTGACATATAGATATGGGGGGGCCTGGAGGTGGATCATGTCACGTCCCACAGGCTCACCATGGCAATCAGCACATGCTTGCAGTGATGGGGCAGCCACTGATGGGTGGTGAGCTCAACTTCTTTTCTGCTGTTTCCCAATTCTCTCCCCCATCCCCAAGGACGGGGCAGTGAGCAAAGGGGGGCTGAGCTGCTGCAGGGTAACACCACAACCCCGTGGCTGCACTGCCTGGCGCTGCAGGCCCCGACATTGAGGTGTGGGGTCCTGGGCCGACGTCCATCCGCAGAGCTGGGACGGGAGCACTCAGGGCTTGGCTGGGGGCTTTCCTTCCTTCCTTTTTCCCCTGTGAGCAGCTGTCAGTGGTTCCATTGCTTCTCCCTTGGTGTCTCTGGTAGCATGGGAACACTTTCTGTGCTTTTTGCTTCTGCTTACGGGAAATGGAGAGGGACAGCATAAAGGAAGTGGCAAAGGGAGGAGGGGAGAGTGAAACAGGCAGAGGAGGCAGCGGGGTGATCCTGAGCACACTGAGCTGTGCCCCCTCCTGTGCCCCTGCGCCGTTGCTGAGCAGTGCTGCACAGAGCTGGGCTCCTGCATCCTTCTGCACATGGAGCACACTGTCCTGGGCTGGGTGCTGCTGCTCGGCACCTGGACTGCTGCATCGGCTGCCGGCATTAAGAACAGCCAGATCAAGGAGGTGGCGATGGACACGGCCCCCAACTCCTTTGATGACCAGTACCAGGGCTGCATCGACTCGATGGAGGCTGAGCTGCCGGAGCTGAACCGCACCGAGTTCAACAACAGAACCTACGCTGAGGGCTGGCGTTCTGCCACTGAGCGGTGGCAGAGCCGATCGGGTGATGTCACCAGCCCAGTGGTGTTGGGACGGGATCAGGCCATCGCTGTGCTGGCGTACACGATGGAGGGGGATCTGTACCGCGTCTTCAACAACGCCACGCTCACGGCTGGGAGCTCCCGGCAGCACTACCTGAGCTCCTACCCCTTCAAGACGCTGCATTTCCTCCTGAGCAGAGCCCTGCAGACCCTGCGGGAATCCCAGCCCCAGCAATGCTACCACGTCTACCGCGGTGTCAGGGGCACCCGATTCACAGCACAGCAAGGCCAGGTGGTTCGCTTCGGACGCTTCACCTCCTCCTCCTTCAACCAGGGGGTCGCTGAAGGCTTTGGCCGGGACACGTTCTTCTTGGTGCTGACCTGCTATGGTGTGCCCATCAAGGACCTCTCCGCGTTCCCCAGTGAGGACGAAGTCCTCATCCCACCCTTTGAGCAGTTTGAGGTCACCAGCATCACCTACAATGGGGACAGAAGTGAAATCCATCTCCTCTCCCAGGGGAACAGCAGCACCTACAACTGCGAGTTTGTGAAGGGTAAGGGCTGCAGCGCTCCAGAATGGGGAGCTTGGGTGGATCAGGGATAGTGAGGACTGGGGGCGTGGGGAGGCTGTGCAGGCTGTGGTCGTGGGGAGGTGGGCAGCTCGGCCAACAGGGAGCCCACGGGGAACTTGAGGCCAGGCCCCGCTGATGGCTGCAGCCCGGCAGCTCTGCGCTGGGGTCGCAGTGCAGTGGGAGCCTCTGTCTGTGCCGCGGCCCTGCAGCGCTCTCGGTCTCTTTGCAGAGAAAAGGTGCAAGGAGCGGCCGTGTGCTTTCAGTGCAGGTAAGAGGAGCCCGCAGCCCCTGGCCCAGGCTGGGCACTGCTTGCAGCCCCACTGCTATTAACTGCCTGCCACCGTCCCCCCAGGCAGGAGCAGCCCCATGGAACCCCCACACCTCTGTGTGCTTTAATGAAGCCCCTCTGCCCCAAAGACAGCTGAGCAGGGGGAACCAGGAGCCCCACACACAGCATCCAGTGGGGCCGCCATCGCCCCACACTGTTGGGCTCTTCACAAGTTCTGTTCACTGTCAGCCCACTTCATCACCTTCTTTGCTGGGTGATGTAAGGAATGAAACCCTATAACCCAGGCAACTTTACAAAGCAGAGATGCTGATTATGGTGTCTCCTCCTGACTCTCACACGAGGAGAGCAGCAAATACACATTTCTGGGCATAGCTCCTACATACTCATCACATTTCCAAGAAATTAGCTGGCTGTCTCCCTCTTCGGTGTGTGCTTCCTGGAATGCAGGGAGGGTCTCTGGGCTCATCTGGTGGCCATCGGATGAAGGCTATTGCGAAGACTTTACGGGGTTGTACTGTGTCTCAACAGCAACTCTGCCTCCTCATCTTCATGGGGATCCCCCTCTAGGTTGAAAACAGCGTCTCTGCAGGTTATCGCCATCGGGACCATCAATTCAACTTCTGCCACCAACAGCTGCTTTAGCCAGGCAAATTAGGGAGCTTATGCCATACAGCCATGAATCCAAACAAAGTGTCATCTGAGGGGATGGTGTAGTACTTCAATCTGTCTCCAAATTGCCTGTAAATCAGTTTCTACCCATTGATTTTGGTCCACATGAGCACAGCAGCTTTGATCCTCCACCCAGACTTTATAAGGTTTGCACTGTCATCATTCCTGTCTATAACAAAATGGACCGGGTATCATTAACGACCAACAAGTCAAATCTGGGACCTAGCTTACTCTGATTTTCTTCCCCATATTTACAATTCCTCCAGCCTCTTCCATCTGGTTTGTTACCCGACCTGGGACTGTCCAATTCAGTGCAGCTGCTCCACAAGCAGGCACCCTCCCCTCCCTGGCCCTACATACCCAGCAAGCTGTAACTGTCAAAGCTTGAGTCAGCTTTTCAGTTAGCTTTGCAGAGGCATTTTCAGGCCAAGCTAAAGCAAGAGTTAAAATTATACAGGATAGATAAGAATGAAGCATTCTGCTTTCCTTTTGTAAGTGTCAGAGGTCCCATGGGGTAGCAGCACACTGAGGATCGGGGGCCTTCTTTGCCCTGGACTGATGAATCCGTGAAGATGCCTCCTTGAATCTGATGGCTGTGTGGGTGGGAAGAAGAACCTGGAATGGTCATAGAATCATAGAATCATAGAATCATGGAATCATAGAATCATAGAATCATAGAACCATAGAATCATAGAAGCATAGAATCATAGAACCATAGAATCATAGAATCATGGAATCATAGAATCATAGAACCATAGAATCATAGAATCATAGAATCATAGAACCATAGAATCATAGAATCATAGAATCATAGAATCATAGAACCATAGAATCATAGAATCATAGAACCATAGAATCATAGAACCATAGAATCATAGAATCATAGAATCATAGAACCATAGAATCATAGAATCATAGAATCATAGAATCATAGAACCGTAGAACCATAGAATCGTAGAACCATAGAATCATAGAATCATAGAACCATAGAATCATAGAATCATAGAACCATAGAATCATAGAATCATAGAATCATAGAACCATAGAATCATAGAACCATAGAATCATAGAACCATAGAACCATAGAATCATAGAATCATAGAGCCATAGAATCATAGAACCATAGAATCATAGAACCATAGAATCATAGAATCATGGAATCATAGAATCATAGAATCATAGAACCATAGAACCATAGAATCATAGAAGCATAGAATCATAGAACCATAGAATCATGGAATCATGGAATCATAGAATCATAGAAGCATAGAATCATAGAATCATAGAACCATAGAATCATAGAACCATAGAACCATAGAACCATAGAATCGTAGAACCATAGAATCATAGAATCATAGAATCATGGAATCATGGAATCATAGAATCATAGAACCATAGAACCATAGAACCATAGAATCATAGAATCATAGAATCATAGAACCATAGAATCATAGAATCATGGAATCATAGAATCATAGAATCATAGAATCATAGAATCATAGAATCATAGAACCATAGAATCATAGAATCATAGAATCATAGAATCATAGAACCATAGAATCATAGAATCATGGAATCATAGAATCATAGAATCATAAAAACATAGAACCATAGAATCATAGAACCATAGAACCATAGAATCATAGAATCATAGAACCATAGAATCATAGAATCATAGAATCATAGAACCATAGAACCATAGAATCATGGAATCATAGAATCATAGAATCATAGAATCATAGAACCATAGAATCATAGAATCATAGAATCATAGAACCATAGAATCATAGAATCATGGAATCATAGAATCATAGAATCATAGAATCATAGAACCATAGAATCATAGAATCATGGAATCATAGAATCATAGAATCATAGAATCATAGAACCATAGAATCATAGAACCATAGAACCATAGAATCATAGAATCATGGAATCATAGAACCATAGAATCATAGAATCATAGAACCATAGAATCATAGAACCATAGAATCATAGAATCATGGAATCATAGAATCATAGAACCATAGAACCATAGAATCATAGAACCATAGAACCATAGAATCATAGAATCATAGAACCATAGAACCATAGAATCATAGAATCATAGAACCATAGAATCATAGAACCATAGAACCATAGAATCATAGAATCATAGAACCATAGAACCATAGAACCATAGAACCATAGAATCATAGAATCATAGAACCATAGAACCATAGAACCATAGAACCATAGAATCATAGAATCATAGAATCATAGAACCATAGAATCATAGAACCATAGAACCATAGAATCATAGAATCATAGAATCATAGAATCATAGAACCATAGAATCATAGAATCATAGAATCATAGAATCATAGAACCATAGAACCATAGAACCATAGAACCATAGAATCATAGAATCATAGAATCATAGAACCATAGAATCATAGAATCATAGAATCATAGAATCATAGAACCATAGAATCATAGAATCATAGAATCATAGAATCATAGAACCATAGAACCATAGAATCATAGAATCATAGAATCATAGAATCATAGAACCATAGAACCATAGAATCATAGAATCATGGAATCATGGAATCATAGAATCATAGAAGCATAGAATCATAGAACCATAGAACCATAGAATCATAGAATCATAGAACCATAGAACCATAGAATCATAGAATCATAGAACCATAGAACCATAGAACCATAGAACCATAGAATCATAGAATCATAGAATCATAGAACCATAGAATCATAGAATCATAGAATCATAGAATCATAGAACCATAGAACCATAGAATCATAGAATCATAGAATCATAGAATCATAGAACCATAGAACCATAGAATCATAGAATCATGGAATCATGGAATCATAGAATCATAGAAGCATAGAATCATAGAATCATAGAACCATAGAATCATAGAATCATAGAATCATGGAATCATAGAATCATAGAACCAGAGAATCATAGAGTCATGGGATCATAGAGTCATGGGATCATAGAATCATAGAACCATAGAATCCCAGAATGGCCTGAGTTGCAAAGGACCACAATGATCATGTTGTGATCATGACGAGGATCTTCTGGAAGGAGGTGGAGGTGAACTGATCACAACCTGATCTCTAAATTGTAGAGCTGTGGGTTTCAAGGGTGGACAATTTGGTGGATAAGGAATTGGATGGATGGTTGTGGACAGAGAGTGGTGGTCAATGGCTCTGTGCGCAGCTGGAGGTGGTGCCAAGCGGTGTCCCCAAGGGGTCCGTCCTGGGAACGGTGCTTTTCAACATCTACTCTAATACTTCCTCATGAGGCCCCATCTGGAGCACTGCACCCAGGTCTGGGTGTCCCATCACAGGAAAGATGTGGAGGTGTTGGAATGGGTGCAGAGGAGGTCATGGAGATGCTGAAAGGGCTGGAGCAGCTCTCCTGTGAGGAGCTGGGCTAAGGAGAACACAGAGCATCTCATTGAGGGCATCATTCAAATGCTCGACTTCTTTTCTGCTGTTTCCCAATTCTCTCCCCCATCCCCAAGGACGGGGCAGTGAGCAAAGGGGCTGAGCTGCTGCAGGGTAACACCACAACCCCGTGGCTGCACTGCCTGGTGCTGCAGGCCCTGACATTGAGGTGTGGGGTCCTGGGCTGTCCTCCATCCGCAGAGCTGGGACAGAAGCACTCAGGGCTTGGCTGGGGCTTTCCTTCCTTCCTTCCTTCCTTCCATTATTCGCTGTGAGTAGCAGTCAGTGGTCCCGGTGCTGCATTTTGAAGATTCGCTGCCAGAGTGGGGACACTCCCTGTGCCTTTCGCTTTCACTTATGGGAAAGGGAGTGGGACAGCCTGAAGGAGCTGATAAAGGGAGGAGGGGATAGCATACAGGGCTGTGCCCACCTGCTGTGCCCCTGCGCCGTTGCTGAGCAGTGCTGCACAGAGCTGGGCTCCTGCATCCTTCTGCACATGGAGCACACTGTCCTGGGCTGGGTGCTGCTGCTCGGCACCTGGACTGCTGCATCGGCTGCCAGCTTTAAGGATGTGGCGATGGACATGGCCCCCAACTCCTTTGATGACCAGTACCAGGGCTGCATCGACTCGATGGAGGCTGAGCTGCCGGAGCTGAACCGCACCGAATTAGCCAACAGGGACTTTGCTAAAGGCTGGAGATTTGCCATCAAGGAGTGGCAGAAGCGATGGGGTCGTGCTGCCAGCCCACCACCATTGTGCTGTGATCAGGGCATGGCCCTGCTGGCGTACACGACAGAGGCGGATCTGTACAAGGAGTTCAACAAAGCCACACGAGAGGGTGGGCGCTCCCGGCAGCACTACCTGAGCTCCTACCCCTTCAAGACGCTGCATTTCCTCCTGAGCAGAGCCCTGCAGACCCTGCGGGAATCCCAGACCCAGCAATGCGACCACGTCTACCGCGGTGTCAGGGAAGTCCGCTTCCACGCACGCCAAGGCACAATGGTCCGCTTCGGCCAGTTCACCTCCACCTCTTTACAGGAGGAGAAAGATAAAGAATTTGGCGAAGGCACCTTCTTCTCGGTGGAGACCTGCTATGGTGTGCCCATCAAGGAATTCTCCACTTTCCCTGGTGAGGATGAAGTTCTCATCCCACCTGCCGAGCAGTTTGAGGTCACCAGCATCAACTACATGAAGAGGGGAAACTTCATCCAGCTCCAATCCCGGGGGATGAAGAGCACCTACAACTGCGAGTTCTTGAAGGGTAAGGGCTGCAGCGCTCCAGAACGGGGAGCTTGGGTGGATCTGGGACAGTGAGGACCGGGGGCATGGGGAGGCTGTGAAGGTTGTGGTCGTGGGAAGGTGGGGAGCTCGGCCAATGGGGAGCCCACGGGGAACTTGAGGCCAGGCCCCGCTGATGGCTGCAGCCCGGCTGGAGGAGCTGAACCGCACGGAGTTCACCAACGAGGTCTATGCTGAGGGCTGGAGAAATGCTGCCATGGAGTGGCGAAATCGATGGGGTCGTGCCGACCGCCCACCGGCACTGAGACGGGATCAGGCCACAGCCATGCTGGCGTACACGATGGAGGGGAAACTGTACCACCAGTTCAACACAGCCACGAGGGAGGATGGCATCTCCCGGCAGCACTACCTGCGCTCCTTCCCCTTCAAGACGCTGCATTTCCTCCTGAGCAGAGCCCTGCAGACCCTGCGGGAATCCCAGCCCCAGCGATGCCACCACGTCTACCGCGGTGTCAAGGGCACCCGATTCACGGCACAGCAGGGCAGGGTGGTCCGCTTCGGCCAATTCACCTCCTCCTCCCTGCGGAAGAAGGTCGCCGAATCTTTTGGCCAAGACACCTTCTTCTCTGTGGAGACCTGCTACGGCGTGCCCATCAAGGAATTCTCCACTTTCCCCGGTGAGGATGAAGTCCTCATCCCACCCTTTGAGCAATTCAAGGTCACCAACATCACCTACAATGAGGGAAGAACCTCCATCCAGCTCCGCTCCCAGGGGATGAACAGCACCTACAACTGCGAGTTCGTGAAGGGTAAGGGCTGCAGCGCTGCAGAATGGGGAGCTTGGGTGAATTGGGCACAGTGAGGACCAGGGATGTGGGGAGGCTGTGCAGGCTGTGGTCGTGGGGAGGTGGGGAGCTCGGCCAACGGGGAGCCCACGGGGAACTTGAGGCCAGGCCCCGCTGATGGCTGCAGCCCGGCAGCTCTGCGCTGGGGTCGCAGTGCAGTGGGAGCCTCTGTCTGTGCCGCGGCCCTGCAGCGCTCTCGGTCTCTTTGCAGAGAAAAGGTGCAAGGAGCGGCCGTGTGCTTTCAGTGCAGGTAAGAGGAGCCCCCGGCCCCGCAGCCCCTGGCCCAGGCTGGGCACTGCTTGCAGCCCCTCACTGCTATTAACTGCCTGCCACCGTTCCCCCAGGCAGGAGCAGCCCCATGGAACCCCCACACCTCTGCGTGCTCCTCCTGGCAGCCGCAGCCCTGGCAGCCCTGGGGGAGCCCTGAGCTGCACCCCGCACTGCTGCCATCCCTTGGATCCGAACGCCTCTCCGTGACATTCCCATCAGCACTGCTGGCCCCACATCCTGCTCGAGCTTCTCACCAAAGCTTGTGCCACTGCCGCGACGGCTGCTGAAGACTGAGCAGATCTTTGCTTGAGGGTCCCGCCGTGCTCACCTCCACGGTGAGGTCACCTCCAAGCACCAAGCTGTGCTGCACGACCAGGCTGCCTTGCTCCCTCCCTGGAACGCAGCCCATGGGACCTGCACAGCAGGGTGTAGAGCAGCTCCCTACCCCTGCTACTCGCTACCCCCTGACCCCACTGTGGTCCCACTCCTCCCCTTCCCCTGCAGAACCCCGTGGCTTTGCAGAGCTCTAAGTTCCTCCAGCTCCCCGTGCTCCCAAATATCCACAAGTTCCCCAACAGCAGAGATGTTCCCTCCATGAGAGCCCTGCCGGCAGCCCGCACTCTCCTCGAGTTTCAAGTTGTAGGTGCTGTTTTTGCACTGGGAGTGGAGATGGACAAAGGCTTTTCCCTTACTTTTTTATGGTGACCTCCGTGGTCTCAAAGGGTGCAAAGAGGACTTCTCTGTCCTCATCAGGGTGGAAGGAGGAGTCTTTGATGGGGACAGCATGGCAGGGCTCCACGCAGAAGAAGGTGTCCAGGCCAAAGGACTCATCGACCTTCTTCTGGAGGCTGGAGGAGGGGAACTGGACAACGTGGACCATTGCTGTGCCATGAAGTGGGTGTTCCTGATGCTGGAGTAGATGTGGTGGCAGCGTTGGGCTGGGATTCCCACAAGGTCTGGCTCAGGAGGACGTGCGGTGTCGTGGAGAGGAAGGGAAACCCACATTGGCCCTTTTGGTGCCCGATGTGGGATCTGGAGGGCTGAGATAAGGGCAGAGCTGGCCAGAGCCTGTTTGAGCAGTCAGAAATCCTCATCCCACCCTTTGAGTACGTTCAGGTCAGCAACTTCAGCCACGTCAAAAGCAGAGCCCTCATCCATCTCCGTTCCCAGGAGAAGAGCAGCAGCTCCAACTGCGAGCTTGTGAAGGGTAAGGGCTGCTGGCGGGGTGGCCAACAGGGGCTGGGGCACAGCCCCGGGCAGCTCTGTGCTCCCTGCACTCTTCCAGCCACGGCTGGAGGGGATCAGGGGACACATTGTGTGGCCCCACCCCCCTGGCAACATCATGGTGGAGTCATGGAAAGGTTTGGGTTGGAACGGACTCTAAAACCCATCCAATCCCCACCCCTGCCGTGGGCTGGGTGCCCCCACCTGCTCAGGCTGCCCAGGGCCCCATCCATGACCTTGGGCACCTCCAGGGATGGGGCACCCATGGCTTCCTTAAGCACCCTGCTCCAGGGCTTCACCACAGGTCCTCTGAGTGAAGATTTTCCCAATAACATCTAATCCAAATCTCCCTTTTTACAAATATCTTGTACCATTCCCCTTGTCCTATCAAACTCGGTGCATGTTAAAGGGCAGACTCCCACCATAAGCTGTCTTTAATTAACAGAAATTCACAATTAGGTGTGATCATAAAATCACCGAATAGTCCAAGCTGGAAGGGACCAATAACAATCACCAAGTCCTTTGAGTTCCTTATCTCAAGGGGATTAATTCTCTTTTTTCTATTTCCTCCTTTTCTGACTTTCAGTTCTTGACACATTAATGGCTTATGAGGTTACATAAACTCGCTTTGCAGTTCTGTTACATTGCCAAGAACATTCAGTAGTTGGAGAATCGTGGAATAGTAGAATTGTAGAAACATAGAAACATAGAATCATGGAATCATAGAATCATGGAATCATGGAATCATAGAATCATGGAATCATAGAATCATGGAATCATGGAATCATAGAATCATAGAATCATAGAATCATAGAATCATAGAATCATGGAATCATAGAATCATAGAATCATAGAATCATGGAATCATAGAATCATGGAATCATAGAATCATAGAATCATAGAATCATAGAAGCATAGAATCATAGAATCATAGAATCATAGAAGCATAGAATCATAGAATCATAGAATCATAGAATCATAGAATCATAGAAGCATAGAAGCATAGAATCATAGAAGCATAGAATCATAGAATCATAGAATCATAGAATCATAGAAGCATAGAATCATAGAATCATAGAATCATAGAATCATAGAATCATAGAATCATAGAATCATAGAATCATAGAAACATGGAATCATGGAATCATAGAATCATGGAATCATGGAACCATAGAATCATAGAATCATAGAATCATAGAGTCATGGAATCATAGAATCATAGAATCATAGAAACATGGAATCATGGAATCATAGAATCATAGAATCATGGAATCATGGAACCATAGAATCATAGAAGCATAGAATCATAGAACCATAGAATCATAGAACCATAGAATCATAGAATCATAGAACCATAGAATCATAGAACCATAGAATCATAGAATCATAGAACCATAGAACCGTAGAACCATAGAATCGTAGAACCATAGAATCATAGAATCATAGAAGCATAGAATCATAGAAGCATAGAACCATAGAATCATAGAACCATAGAATCATAGAATTATAGGATCATAGAATTATAGAATCATAGAATCATGGAATCATGGAATTGTAGAATCGTAGAATCATAGACAACAGAATCATCGAATCACAGAATCATAGAACCATAGAATCATAGAATCATAGAATTATAGGATCATAGAATCATAGAATCATAGAATCAAGGAATCATAGAATCATGGAATCATGGAATTGTAGAATCGTAGAATCATAGACAACAGAATCATTGAATCACAGAATCATAGAACCATGGAATGGGTTGAGTTGGAAGGGACCACCAAGACCATTCATTTCCAACCTTCCTGCCCTGGGCAGGGTTTGCCAACCTCTGCCATGTAGATTCATTCAGGACCTCCCATCCTGGGGCACGTTTATTGTCCTTGCTTGGAGTTTTGGTTTTAGAGCTGATCCAAAACAGCACAAGATTAAGCCCTCGTTAAGCAAGATGCATACATCCTTTGCTCTAACCTCATGCACAGCTCCTGCAAAGCCAAAAACTCGTGTTTAACGTGGCTGTGTCCCTGCTGTGGGCTCACAGCTGTAATCCCAAGTGCCATTTCCAGGAGGCCTTCTTCTGAAGGGAGTTTTTCAGCTCCTTCCACTTCATCCCCTCCAGCTCTTTCTGACAATAAGCTTTGCTTTTCATTTTTTTTTCATCAACCCAGTGCAAACAGCTTCTAAACTAACGGGCAGCCCTCTTACAGGAGGAAGTGGGATAAAATGTCTTTTCCAAAGGAAAAAAATGAGGTTCACATGCTCGGAATGCACTGTAACGCAATGGGTGAGATTGTCGCAGCAAGACCGAGTGCTGCATCCCTTAAGTTTGCTGGTCTCTTCAATCCACGCATCCATCAGTGTCTGGAAATAAAGCAACAACCAACAGGTCGTAAAGGAAGTAGGAAAAAGTATGGATTTGTTATCAAAGAAAAGCTTTCTAGGAAGGTTGGAATAGATTGACATCATCGCAGGTTGGTGAGGAAACGTTTGGGAATAAAAGCATGTTTTCCTTGAAAGTGCCAGTCATTCTATGCTCCCAAACACTGGGACCCTCCATGGAAACTGTCTCAGGATTGGGAGGTGGCTTAAAGATTTCTTTTACTGAAGGAGGACATTGCTTGTGCAATGTTGTGCCCAGAATAGTTCACTCGCATGCCAAAATTGCAATGGAGTCCACTTGACGTAGGGTTTATCAGTGCTGCAACAGCCAACAGGTCAACAAAATCAATTAACAGAACCAGTGATGGAACTGACAGTGACTGTGAAGTGTAAACGATGGCAATTTACTTGCAAATTAGTCAGCTCCCCTTGGTTGTTAGCTCTGTTTGACTCAAGCACACACGCTTGCACGTTTTCAGCATTTTTCCTTCCTCACGTAGAACAGCAGTGCTGCAGAACAGTACAGACCCCAGACCCTATCTCTTAAGTTAGCAAATATTGCTGGAGTGTGATGCTTCCAAAGGCAGAGCTCGAGGAGCTCTTCTAAGCCCACATCTGTGGCTCTAAATTACGTTCTTTAACAGGCATGCAGTGGCAAAGCTTAAGCTTTTCCCTCTTCTTCGAATACCGCACAGAAGTTGAGCATTTAGCCCTGCACTTGCAACCCTTTCATCTGTCAGTGAAACACCTTTGCTCACTTGAGTGGTTTTGCAATGAGCTAATACCCCACAGCGGTATAAAAAAGGAGTGCTTGGCTCCATCTAAGGCAGAGGTAGGAATTACAGTTAGCCACAAGGCCATTGCTTCCTTTCCCAAAGGCTGCAGCACGCCAAAACATGAGAAAAGGCTACTAAATAATCTCGGTCATGACCTACAGTTAGGCCCTCTCTGCAAGGACGCCATCCCTTGTGTCTCAAATTGGGCAAGAAGCATGCCAACATGGGAACGTGGTGCCATACAGCAGAGGAAGCCTCCAACTAAGCTTAGAATCATAAAATCGTTAAGGTTGGAAAAGACCTTGGAGATCCCCAAATCCAACCCCAACCCATCCCTCCTGCCTGCTGACCGCATCCCTCAGTGCCGCACCTCCGTGGTTCTTGAACATCTCCAGGGCTGCTGACCTCCCCACTCCCTGGGCAATGAATTATCACTCCCTGAGAATAAATTGTTCCCAATATCCAACCTCTTTCCCTGGTTTTGAGCTTATTTCATGCCAGCTGGCATAAGATATCTTTCCAGTAACTCTCCTCGGCTTGCACTGTTACGCAGACAGAGGTTTTTCAACATTTACCTTGGGTGATAAAGGTGATGCCGTCATCTTCCAAACTATGCAGACAGATGGCATTGGCTTTTCTGTGGTTAAACATGCAAACGATGCTTTCCCAGGGCATCAGCAAATTACACAGGGCCCAACGTGACGCTGAGCTCTGCAGGACTGCTCCAACGTGACCAAAGCTCAAAGAAGTCACCACCCTCCCCAGGTTCAACTTGCAAAATAATCCACCCAAACCTTATTAATTAGCAAAGCAATTATTTTAAGCCTGAAAGGAATGATTATTTCTCTCATGCTCAGCCCCCATCCGTGTCATTTTCCTCCTTTTCGCGTTGAATGCTGATGTGGGTGAGGAAGTGTTGCACTTAACCTGTCAGAGCTGATGGAAATCAAACGTGAAATGGAAACCTCATCCCTGGTTTTCCTTAGAAATTGTGTAAAATGAGGCCAACCCCCCCGACCAGCACAGGCTGGAAATCTGCAGGGACTTTTAATACCATCATTAATAAATTAACACGGGATTTGCTGATTTGGAGGCTTATCTGCGAGCAAGTAACTGATATTATTTCCTAAGCAAAGTCACTGTTTCAAGAAAGTCCCTTGATTTCATGAACAATTTTATCGTCCCAATTATGGTATTCTTCTTTTCACACCTCTGGGCTAAAAACTGGGAGGAAAACCCAATCAACAAAGCAAACAAAAAACCCCAGAACCAACAAAACAAGACCAAATTTCATCCCAGGAATCAAGTTTTGACCTTTCAAAGTGAAGGTGGTAATTTCAAAAGCAACGCGCGCACAGACTGTAATGAACCAGGAGGCAGGAGGTGAATAAGACTGACACAACAGGTCCCAAATGACCACGTTTAAGCCTCCTGATCTCAACAATTACTCTCCTCATTGGGGACAGCCAGGTACAGGAGTCAATCTCTGGGATCACGGTGCTTGAAACTTCAGCTGGAGGTATCAAGGATTATCGGGCACCCAGACACAGGAGCACCCCATTGGGTGAAAGCTTTGGGAAGAGTCCCCCGTCCATTAATGACGGGATGGAGTTTGTTGCCTCTGTTTTTCAACTCCAAGAGGTGTTTTGGGAAATGGCAGACCATGAGTAAAGAGATGGTGGAGGATGGAAGAGCATGGCTTGTGCACGGATGGTCACTGAACTCTAGAAGACACGACTCCTCTATTCATTTTTTGTTATTTTATTTTTTAATGGGTTCAACCATGCATGCTAAGTGCAATGCTGGTACAACATACGCCAATGTAGCATCGATATTTCACGGTCTCCAGTGATAGAGGTGAATGAAGACGCCCTCCAATGGGGAAGGTCTTCCTGCTGAGGACATCCTCACCAGCACCCACGGCCCTGCTGGAGGCCGCACGGGGCCACGTGGAGGACAGGACAGGAGTTTCCAGTGCTTCAGCCCTTGGGCTGGTGGGAACTGGCATTTCCAGTGCTGCAGTGCGCTGGGGACAGGCGTTCCCAGTGCTGCTGTTGGGGCAGTGGGACGGGCGTTCCTGGCGGAGCGGTGCGGTGGCAATCCTGGTGTGCTGGTGGAACGATGGGGATGAGTGTTTCAAGCGTGGCCACGTACACGGGGCAAGCGTTCCCAGTGCTGCAGGGCACCGTGGGCACCGGTGGTCCCTGCAGGGTGTGGGGACAGGACTGGAGAACCCAGTGCTGCGTGGTATGTGGACGTGGTAGAGGGGTGGTGGGGATGGACCTCCTGCCTGGGATGGAGGTTGTGTGGGTGGAATGGGATTGAAGTGGGTGCTGCAGAGAGGGCTGCATCTGGCTTTGGTGTGTTGGCGTTAGCGCTGGCATGATGCGGGATGGGTCAATGCAATATGAAGTGGGATGGTGTGATGGGGGGGTGGGTGGGTTGGTGGGCTGTGGGATGGGTGGCATGGCGTGGGGTAGGTTGGCATCATGTAGGGTGGGCTGGCATGACACAGAGTGAGTTGGTGTAATGTGGTGTGGGTTATTTTGTTGTAGGATGGGTTGGTATGATGTAGGATGGGTCAGTGTAATGTTGGGTGGTTTGGTGTGTTGCAGGGTTAGTTGGCATGATGTAGGATGGATCAACGTAATGTGGGGTGGGCTGATGTGCTGTGGGGTGCAGTGGTATGTTGTGGGGTGGGTTGGCATGATGTCAGGTAGGTTGGTATGATGTAGGGTGGGTTGGTACGATGTAGGGTGGGTTGGTACGATGTAGGGTGGGTCAATGTAATGTTGGGTGGTTTGGTGTGCTGTAAGGTGGGTTGGCACAATGTGGGATGAATTGGCATGATGTAGGATGGGTCAGTGTAATGTGGGGTGGGTTGGTGTGCTATGGGGGGGGTTGGAATGGTGTGGGGTGAGTTGGTGTGTTGTAGGGTGGGTTGGCATGATGTAGGGTGGGTTGGCACAATATGGGAAGAATTGGCGTGGTATAGGATGGGTTGATGTAATGTGGGGTGGGTTGGTGTGCTGTGGGATGGGTTGGCACAATGTGGGATGAATTGGCATGGTGTAGGATGGGTCGGTGTAACGTGGGGTGGGTTGGTGTGTTGTAGGGTGGGTTGGCATGATGTAGGGTGGGTTGGCACAATATGGGATGAATTGGCATGGTATAGGATGGGTTGATGTAATGTGGAGTGGGTTGGTGTGTTGTAAAGTGGGTTGGCACAATGTGGGATGAATTGGGATGATGTAGGATGGGTCAGTGTAATGTGGGGTGGGTTGGTGTGCTATGGGGTGGGTTGGCATGGTGTGGGGTGAGTTAGTGTGTTGTAGGGTGGGTTGGCATGATGTAGGGTGGGTTGGCACAATATGGGAAGAATTGGCGTGGTATAGGATGGGTTGATGTAATGTGGGGTGGGTTGGTGTGCTTTGGGATGGGTTGGCACAATGTGGGATGAATTGGCATGATGTAGGATGGGTCGGTGTAACGTGAGGTGGGTTGGTGTGTTGTAGGGTGGGTTGGCATGATGTAGGGTGGGTTGGCACAATATGGGATGAATTGGCATGGTATAGGATGGGTCGATGTAATGTGGAGTGGGTTGGTGTGTTGTAAAGTGGGTTGGCACAATGTGGGATGAATTGGCATGATGTAGGATGGGTCGATGTAATGTGGAGTGGGTTGGTGTGATGTAGGATGGGCTGGTGTGTTGTGGATTGGGTTGGCATGACGCAGGGTGGGTTGGCATGATGTAGGGTGAGTTGGTAAGACGTAGGATGGATCAGTGTAATGTGGGGTGGGTTGGTGTGTGTGCTGTGGGGGGGTTGGCACAATGTGGGATGAATTGACGTGATGTAGGATGGGTCGATGTAATGTGAAGTGGGTTGGTGTGCTGTGGGGTGGGTTGGCATGGGTGTGGGGTAGGTTGGCGTGACATAGAGTGGGTCAATGTAATGTGGGGTGGGTTGGCATGGGTGTGGGGTAGGTTGGCGTGACATAGAGTGGGTCAATGTAATGTGGGGTGGGTTGGCATGATGTAGGCTGGTCAGTGTAATGTGGGGTGGGTTGGTGTGCTATGGGGTGGGTTGGCAAGGGGTGGGATGGGTTGATGTGTTGTGGGTTGGGTTGGCATGATGTAGAGTGGGTTGGTACGATGTAGGGTGGGTCAATGTAACGTGGGGTGGGTTGGCACAATGTGGCATGAATTGGCGTGATGTAGGATGATGGGTCAGTGTAATGTGGGGTGGGTTGGTGTGATGTAGGGTGGGCTGGTGTGTTGTGGGGTGGCTTGGCACGATGTAGGGCAACTTGGGGTCACGCAGGGCAGGCTGCCACACTGGGACGTGCGACAAGCTGCAATATAGGTGGGGTGGGCTGGCGTCACGTGGGACGCCCCGCTCCCGACAGGCCCGGCCCGCTGAGGCCCCAGGCCGCTCCCCGTTGCCATGGCGACCGCTCCCCCCTCCCACCCGCACCGCGCCAGCAAAATATTTTCGTCCCACCACGTGATATAAACAGCTCCCTCCACCACGTGACGGAGAGCGAGCGACGTCAATCAAAACCGCCGCCTTCCAATCAGCAACCTCTCCTTCCGGTGCCGTCCCGCCTACCGGAAGTCGGCGCGCCAATCGGCGCCGGGTCCCGTTCCAACGGTTTGACAGAGGCAGCGGAGAGAGGTGCTGATTGACGTGGCTCTCAACCTATCACAACTCAAAGGCTCTCCCGGCCTCCCGCCTCGTTGGAGCGCTGACCAATGAGCGGGCGCGCAAGCCACTAGCTCCCGCCTCCTCCTCGCCCGCCCCTCAGCACTGCGGTAATATGGCTCCGTAGCGAGCGGCCCAGCTTGGTGCTGCTGCCGCCATTAACCCTTGGGTGTCCGGCGGCGGGGGGGCGGCCCGGCGGGCTCAGGCGCTGCCCGGCCGTTGCCCTGCCTTGAGGATGAGCTCGGCCGCCGGCCCCGCCGCCCTACCTCCGGGCTCCGCCACCAGGGCCTTGCATGTGGAGCTGCCCTCGCAGCAGGTAGGGCGGGCTGGGGGCTCCTGAGGGGACGGAAGGGGAGGAGAGGGGGGGGAATGAAGGAGCTCTGAGGGAAAGTGCGGGCTCTGTGAGGTGTATGGCGTTCCCTTCAGGTGAGGTTGGGGCTGCGCTGAGGTGAAGGGGGAATTCCTGAGGTGTGGGGGTCCCTTGAGGTGAAAGGTGGGAATCTGTGAATTGTGGGGTTCCCTGGATGTGAAAGAGGGACTTGTCTGGGTTGTAGGGTCCCTTGAGATGAAGGGGAGCTTTCAGGAGAGGTGGTGCTCTCTTGGGGTGAAGAGGGCTTCTCTGAGGTGTGTGGATCCCTTGAGGTGGAGGGAGGGTTCTCTGGGGTGTGGGGCCTCCTCGAGGGTGCACGGGGGTCTCCTGTGAGGTGTGGGGCCCTCTTGAGGTGAATGAGGGACTCCTATGAGGGATGGGCTCCTCCCTTGAGGTGCTTGAGGGGGTCTCCTGTGAGGGCTGGGGCTCTCTTAAGCTGAATGGGGGTCTCCTGTGAAGGATGGTGTCCCCTTGAGGTGCATGGGGGTCTCCTGTGAGGATTGGGACCCTCTTGGGGTGAATGAGGGACTCATGTAACGGTTGAGGTTCCCTTGAGGTGCATGGGGGTCTCCTGTGAGGGTTGGGGCTTCCTTGGGATGTATGGGGGTCTCCTGTGTATGATGGGCTTCCCTTGAGGTGCATGGGGGTCTCCTGTGAGATGTGGGGCCCCCTTGAGGTGCATGGGAGACTCCTGTGGGGGTTGGGGCTCCCTTGGGATGAATGGGGGTCTCCTATGAAGGATGGTGTTCCCTTGAGGTGCATGGAGGTCTCCTGTGAGGATTGGGGCCCTCTTGGGGTGAATGAGGGACTCATGTAACGGTTGAGGTTCCCTTGAGGTGCATGGGGGTCACCTGTGAGGGTTGGGGTTTCCTTGAGTTGAAGGGGGGTCTCCTGTGAGGTTTGGGGCTCCCTTGGGATGAATGGGGGTCTCCTGTGAAGGATGGGCTTCCCTGGAGGTGCATGGGGTTCTCCTGTGAGGGTTGGGGCTCCCTTGAGGTGCTTGGGGGTCTCCTGTGAGGGTTGGGGCTCTCTTAAGCGGAATGGAGATCTCCTGTGAAGGATGGTGTCCCCTTGAGGTGCATGGGGGTCTCCTGTGAGGGATGGACTTCCCTTGAGGTGATCACTGAGAGGCTTTCTGAGTCTTGTGATATTCCCTTGAGGTGATGGGGTGGCATCCTGAGGTATGGGGGTCCCTTTGGTGAAGGGGGCCTCCTATGGATTGTGTGGTACCTTGAGATGAAGGGGGGGGGGGGGAATCTGCCTGAGGTGTGGGGATCCCTTGGAATGAAGAGGTGGGGAGACCATCCCCAAGGTGTCGGAGTGGAGTTCCCTGCAGGATGGAGGTGCCCTAAAGGCAATCCCTGAGCTGACACAGCGATGTTCCTGAGTTGTGGGGTTTTTTAGTGCCGTTCCTTTGGGCTGCAGGTGGGAGTGTGAGGTTCCCTTTGCATTGGGGTCTGTGCCTATATCAGAGAGCTGAGGGTGTTTTCTTTATAGAGATGCTGTGTACAGACAGGAGCTGGGACTTGCAATATGGTAACACCCAGATAAATTGGCTTTTATTCTGGGCTAACTGGGGGGGCAGTGAGGTGCCCACTTGTGCCGTGCCTTTTAGCGAGGTGGAGGCTGAGCACAGCTCAAGAGTGTATTCCAAAAAGCAGTGAAATGTTCCCTCCCCATCACATCCTTCCTCCAGCAAACTGTTTTTCCTGTTTGCTGATGTTTGGCTTTTGGTTTACTGGGCAACCATCCTGCTTACATGACTGGTTTAATTTTGGAGAGCGTTAGGCTCAGGGTTAAGTGAGGTAGTCCAGGCTCTGCAGGAGGGTTTAGCAGTCTGTATCAAACAGTCTGTGTCCTTTTCCCCTCCTGCATGGCTTTTGTTGTATGGTTCCCATCAGCTTCAAGAGTGTTGCTGGGAGGGGAATAACAACATCCGTGCCTTTGCTTTCCTATAGAAGCCTTTCACGATGTGATTCTGCACTGGAAGTTTTGGTTCAGTGTCTCTGTGCTGAAGTAGGCACGTGATCTGAATGGCTTCAGCTTTGTGCTCCCAGGTGTTAAAATGAAGCAGTGTGAGGGGGGGAAATCAAGAGATGTCAGCTTGAAAATGAGGCTGTAACTGCTGCAGGGGTAAGAGGGCAGAGTGGAGAGGCTGTTGGCCACAGGAGCAGAGCGAGCACCGACTCTGAAGCGTGGGCCTGTTGTGTGTTAATGAAGGAGAAGATTGGTTTTGTTTTGGATGAACTTTACAGGCTGCTGAGGGCTCACATATGGCCCTTTCTCCCTGCTAAATCTTTGCTTTGCTTCTTTCCCAAGCTTGTGCAAGAACCAGGCGAACGCTGCAGGGAGAAAGCCAGAGTTATTAGTCATTGGGCTTCATTTGTGAAAGTGAGACCAAAACAGCCTGTTCTTTTTTTTTTCTCTGGTAGCAGAAAGGTTTGTTGGAGTTTGTAGGAACAGAAACTCCATCTTCAATTACAGGCCATTGCAGTCAGGTAAATATTTGGTTTATGAGGGGTGCCTGTGCTCTGCAGGTACCCAGAGAGTGTATCTGTGTGCTGTGTCAGTGCTTGCCATCAAATCAAGGAGCTCTGAAGCTGCAGCCTGATATGCTGGCAGCAAATCATCCGTTCACTGCATTATCTGAGCACAGAAGCCTGTTGCTGAATTGCACAGCGCTTTGCCTCCGAGGGGCCATCATCCTGCAGGTGTTCTGCTGCAGGAAGAAGGAAAGGAAAAGTCATTTAAGTTTATTGCAGCACCTGGATAATGCAGAAATCTGTCTGATCTGGGTATGGTGCTGCATGGCACGGGGTAATTGTTTTGTACCTGCTGGCACAGAACTCGGTGCAGTGATGTGTTGCAGCAGGCAGTGTTGTGCAGAACACCCAGTGCTGTGTTTTTTGTGTTCAGAGGATTTGGAAGGCGTTCTGAGTTACGGTTGTAAATCCCCCTGAAGAAGAACACACTCTCAAATCTGTGAGCTTGAGGGGAATGCTGTCTGAGGTGTCAAAGGTATGGGTTTACTCTTACCATAGAGTCATAAAGTGGCTTGGGTTGGAGGGACCTCAAGGATCACGAAGCTCCAACCCCCCACCACAGGCAGGGCCACCAACCTCCCCATTTCACAGCAGCCCAGGCTGCCCAGGGCCCCATCCAACCTGGCCTTGAACACCTCCAGGGATGGACGGGGCATCACAGCCTCTCTGGGCAGCTGTTCCAGCACCTCACCACTCTCATAGCACAGAACTTCCCCCTGACATCCAACCTCATTCTTCCCTCCTTCAACTTCAAACCATTTCCCTTGTCCTGCTGTCATCTATCCTTGTAAAGAGTTGATTCCTCTCCTGTCTGTAAGCTCCATTTAGGTTCTGCAGGCTGCACTGTTGTCACCCCGCAGCTTCTCTTCTCCATACTGAACAAGCCCAGCTCCCTCAGCCTGTCTTTGTAGGGAGGTGCTGCAGCCTCCAATCATCTCTGTGGCTCCTCTGGTCCCTCTCCAACAGCTCCCTGTCTCTCTTGTGCTGGGGGCTCCAGCCCTGGGCACAGTACTGCAGATGGGGCCAAGAGCAGAGTAGAGGGGGGCAATGACCTCCCTGTCCCTACTGGCCACCCTCTGCTGATGGAGCCCAGGATCCCTTTTGCTTTCTGAGCTGCTACTTCAAAGCATTGATTTCTTCTTCATCATCTCTTCCTGATGCAGGGAAGCCCAGCGTGTCATGAAAACTTTCCAGTCCTCTTGTTGTATGCAGTTCAAAGGAATGGGGGCAGGGGACCCAAACCTCTCAGACTTCATAATCTAGAGAGAAGATTTTGCTAAAACAATGTGGTTTAAGCATAGAGAGGCCAGTCACACTGCAGTCAAATGATTCGTTGGATGTTATTCTGCTAATTGCTGGCCTAAACAGCTGTCATGTGTGGCTGCTCAGAGACAGCAGGGCCAGTCAATCTTCTTGGGCTTCCAGCACTTCAAACTTCTCCTTCAGGAGGAAATGGATGAACTTTTCCTATCAGTTCCAACATCAGTCCAAAGCTTTTGATGGTCTGTGAGACGTTGTTTGAAGACCTGCAATCCTGATCCTGGGTGGACTGCTGTGCACCAACTGTGCTGATGCATTAATATTTGGGAATTGTAGGGAAAAAAACTGTGTGTGTGTGTGTAATATACACTGAAGGGGGTGTTGTCATACTCACAAAGTGATTTCCAGTCTGTGGTTCAGGTCTATGTCTGTGTTCTCTTACCTGTCTTGCTAACCAGCATGTGAGTCATCTGGAGGTGTGGTTGGTTTTGGGTGGAGCATCTCAGAAATAAGGGGATAGAGCCATTTTTAGAAAGTGACAAAAAGGTCCCCTGTTCTATTAGCGTGATAAAGATGAATTATGGAGGGTGGGGGAGGAGGGCAGGCAAAAACACAGTGTGGGTTCTGGTGCAGTAGAGGAGTGGAATGTGTAACAGCTCAGTGCTGCTTTGGCTGGGATGGAATAGCGCTTCAGAAGTGCTGCCTCACTCCCAGGTGATGTGACTGCACACCAGCCATCAGCTGCTTGAATATCTGCCAGTTGGAAGCTTGAAAGCTTGCTCTGTTCGTGCTGCTCGTTTTACTGCTCTGATGATCAGATGTTCTTCTGAAGATCAGCTGCAACTCACTTCCAAATTAGAGGGAGAAAGCAACGTGTGATGCTTGCACTGTACCTAAGATGTTTCCCTGTAACGGAGCTAAGCAGCTCTTCTGTATTTAGAAAGAGAGATGGAGTAAAAGCCATCTGTTACAGACACTAACATGAGATGTGTCTCTGCACGGCCACGGATGCTGTTAGATGTCCAGCTAACCCAGTATCTTTTGTTTTTCAGCTCAGAGATGTCTGTTGTCAGATGGTGAGAATGGTCAGATGGTTTCTTTGGATGGAGCAGCAAAGCATTCAGCCACAAAGCAGGCGCGTGG